AAAGTCTTTATTTGATACTCCACGAACTTGCGTTCATTGTAAAATTATCGACACTGTATCTCTTTCATCTATATTTTCTTTTTTTCCTTTAATATATCGTTTTTACTTAAATCGAAAATTTAAAAAAACCATTGCGAATGTTGCAACCAAACTAAATGTTTGGTTGCAACCAAACTAAATGTTTGGTTGCAACATTCGCAATGGTTTGTTTGGTAATCAAAATTGTTAGCTTTTAAATACCTGTAAACAATGTATGTTTACACATTGGTACTGCTATAACAAAAAAAAAATTTTGAACTAACCGAAAACTAGGTTTCTAAATACAGATTTTCTACATATCGATAATTTGATTACAACACGCGGGCTCAGTACCAAGTGTAACACGACACTAGTGTAAGCAATTCATTGAGCGTCATTCGAATTGTTCTTTTGACGGAGGCGATGGCTAGCAACCAATGTATATTGTTATTACCGGGTTGCAAGAAAATAGTTTTGTTTCGAAATTTTAGTATTGTATTATTCAAGACATTAGAAAATGCAGAGTTTTAGTATTTACTGATGAAATGAAATCACTCTCGGAGTATTTTTTAAACTTTGGCTTCTTACGCGACACGATATAATGGCACAATTCTATATTATATTTATATTTTTTCCACAAAATAATCATATATCACATTTGAACGACGACTAACGCGCTGTTGACACTCGTATGACCATCTGGCCATAAGCTAGGTAACGCGGACCCCGCCCACTAACCAGTCTATTACTATTTGTAAGTCAATGATTACTAGTATTTATATGGTCTGTGAGCCTATGATTGCCAGCTCAGTTTGGTCATCAGTCAAATAGTCCTACTAAACCATTTGAATGATGACGATGATCAATATAAGGATTTTGTTATTTTTGAGTCATGATTTTTATTAATTGGAAACAAAATCTTTTTGGTTGACAATAACGAGTTTTTGAGCAAGTGTTGTATATTAATTTCTGAATAGTATCTTCTGTGACATTGAGTTGGATTAGTTAATATCCAATGTGATCAAATTTGGTTAGTGAAAGCCGTATTCGCAGGATTTCATACTTTTAACAGTACTCTTATGAACATTATGACGTAGATGTACTGAAATTAATATTGTCTTTTGTCTTGATACGTCACAAGTTGCTGCGACTGCGTATATTGTTGAGACATTCATTGCATAAAATATTTATGAAGAAATCGCTAATCTGACTAAAATTATATTAATACTTAATAAACCCTTCCTAACAAATAACGATAACGCACAAAATATTATCCATTTTATCAACTAAAGATAGAAGGGTTTCAAGCAACAACACAAAATATAAAATATACGATGTGAGTACGCACAAAAATGATTTTCACGATAAATCTAAAAGGTTTATTTTTCTAACCCAGCAGAATTTGTGTCCTCCATTACGGCCGACACTGGGATTTTACTCAGATTTTCGCATTTCCAACATTTTTATCAATACTTGTGCACGGTCGAAATATGACAATGCTGCTCAAATATTTCCATAGAGCAGATATTTATATAGATACATGTCATGGAAATTCGACGCTTTGTTCTAGAAATACCATAATGGAAAAAATAAAAGAAGAAATACAATACGGTTACAATGCGGTTACAAAAATCCCCTGACGGTTACTTAACCAATGCGTCAATGCATATAGCATAGAAAAAAATACCATAGTCTAAGCGTCAATGCGACTATTCTTTTTTTAGTATGACTTTACCCTCGCATTTTGCCAATGAAAAGGTTGGGAAAGCTGTGAATTACAGATTATGGAAGTGGTCCGAAATTTGAATGAAAAAGGATATGGTAGGTTGGGTAGGTGAGTAGCTGTTAAGGTATAATAATATCGGCATACATAATTAAGCTTGATATTATTATTTTCGATAAATAAGGTCAGTACATTATAAACATTTTGTTACAAAAATACGACGACTATTAGTATATTTTATTGATTTTATGTCACACTTTTTGCACAGACCGTTCTTTTTCGGTCATCTATGGTAACATCAGATGAATGCCGTTTGCACAAAATGCAGTGCCGCAGTGTCCTACATCGTAATAAACAAAATATAACTTTCCCACAAACACAGTGAATACGTTCTTTGGTCGAGTAAAATGCGACTCTTAATTTTTTTTCCATCCTCTTCTGCCACGCATACTTATCAAGATTTTAATACAAAATAACTGTCTTTTTGCAGCGGCGGTACTTCAATGCGGTACTTAAAGGCGCTCTCATGCTAGCCGTTCAATTATTTCACTCCATTTCACGAGTAGACTTCTTAAACTTAAAATATGACTTGAGCAATGGGTGGTGCTGTCTGTCAGTGCCATAAGGCAAACCCATGACGCTAATTTTAATTCGTGTTATTATTTGTTATGAAACAAACTTTCAATGTATTTCCTCTGGTTTTCAGCATTATGCTGGATGTCCCAAGGCTGCGACACAGGGGAAAGTATTTTAAATGTTGTATAATGGTTGTACACGAGTTAGATATTATTTTATTTTTAAAAGTAAGTAAAACTGCATTTAAATTAAGGGTGTCTCAAAATTTACGTAAGAAATAATTATGATAGAAAACACGGGTTTTTAATTAAAAACTGTAATATTTTTATTGATGCATGAAGAACATGGTATAGGGCTATGTGTGGTAAAGGATGACGGGTAAGTGGCCTCCACGGCTTTGCTGGCACATTGGCGCTCTTTTCATGAAATTTTTGATGACCATTGCACTACAACACAAATCTTTTCGATTTTAAAAAACTCAAAGTAACTTATCTAATTTATCATACTAGATTGAGAATTTTCATATAAGAAGATGGATCACATTTTGAAAATTTAATAAATTAATTGCAAATATCGTACATACATTTGGCAGTTTCAATTTGTCATTCATTGCTTCATTCATTCATTTATTAATTTTATTTTTATTATTAACTTTTATACTAACGCTAGAATACATAGTTTGTAAGTGTACTAACAAAATGGACTGTAATTATTTTGCTTGTATGATTTTTATTTATTTATTAAAAGGTTTTAATCCTTATAATTCATCCTTTCGTTCGGTACCATAAAAATAAACCTGATCATTGTGTGTTTTTTTTATTTCGTCGTATCGATTCCCAGTCAAGATAAGCAACTTTTTAAAGTCTTTGAATGCATTATTATTTTCTTTTCAAAATGAAATTGTCTCCGTTAAGTAATATTATATCCTACGTGCAATATTTAATTAAAATATTTTCCCAACGTGTCGCGTGGCCTTAAGACAGCCTGTATATGGTTGTTTATACGGCTAAGGTCTGACGAACAAAACTAGGTAGAATCACACACGGTGCAGCACGACGCGCCTTGTAGGATCCGATTTGACCTTGTTTCTCATTCTGTACCGGGTAAGGAAAACAATGTGGAACTCATAACAGGTAAGTAATTTTCTTTTCAGGTAACGCGTGATCCCGCGGCGCATGTACGCATCAATATGTGGTTCATGTAAATACAAAATCCAAGCGCACGGCGCAACACCGTGTAGGAGGTTCTTAATTCTTTTGCGTAGTTTCATCTATTTAATTACATTATAATACTATTTTACTTGTTATTAACATCGAAAAAATTACTAAACAACCTACATCTAAACGGTGAAGTCTTTTAATTAATGTAATAATGTGATAAATCCTTGTCCATTTAAACCCAAAGATTAATAACAAATATAGGTACTCATGAACTTAGAGGAACTAAGGTAGTGGGAGTAGTAGGGAGTAGACCGATGATGGACAGTGCAACAATCTTGAACATGTTGTAACTATACCGCCAAAAATAAGGAAACGCTATTTTTTTCTTTTCACTTTCAAAATTTTTTATAATTTTTGATCGAAATGGAAGACGTCAGTTCAATTTCGACAGCTGGCAACCATCTTTATTCGCCATTATCGCGGTACGAAATAGGACAGTGATAACAAATTAAAAAAAAGAAATTCTTTTAAGGACTGCGCCATAAGTACGTTTTTTAGAATCATATTTGAATGTGGTATTTAAGAATGTGGTAACTTCTGTGGTTATTTTGTGTTTTCATGTTTTTTAAGCATCTAAACAAAACATAACAGTAAATGAATAACATAACGTCTATTGGAAAATTTGAAGTGTTTATTACTGGATCTTTTTTTTATAACCTCAAGTGACGGGACGAGCAACTCGTGCGCCTGAAGGTAAGCAATATCCCTGTCCATAACAGATACAGTGCCACTCAGAGCTGTTTATCTGTTTATCTCATTTAGCTGTTTACCCAATCATGAACATTTTTGTCAATATTAATTGGATTTTATCATGACAGAGCCTTCACATGTGTTAACCCACTGCTAACAGTCTTTATAAAGACAGATTTTTAATTAAGTGTAAACCTTGTTACATTTATTTTAAGTCTACACAGTAATTGAAAGAATATCCGTCACTGCTAGTCCATTAGTGGATTTAATTTTTTTTAGACGTGGCATTGAAGCGAATGACCACCCATTGTTACCAATCACACATATCCAACTAAATCTATGCAATCACATGAAACATCACACCATTCGTTTAGAAATAACTTTAAGTACCATGTCAGATCTCTTTTTTTAATATGGAATTTGTTAATTTAGCTAAATAGTTAATCGTTCATATTTAGGTGTCCATGATTAGAAACCGTACATAATTGGAAATTGGGATGTCCATATAAGGATACTCAAACAGGGTCTACTTTTTTTTTAATAACAATTTTTCCTTTATTAATTGATCTGATCAAAGTACTTCCATATTATTTGAAGACTTTTCAATAATTTAAAGCTTTCCTCCAGTTCCACAAAGTAACTCATCCAAAATTATAAGACTAAAATAGAAAATAAATCCTGAAACCGTCCAAGATTGATTCCACTACCTTATGTACTATATGCATTTTATGAAGACTTAATTGGCGTTTCATTATTTATCGGTACACACTTACCTCAACAATAGACAGGATTGAATTTATGTAATCAACTTCGGTAGATATTAACTCCTTTATCACCGTTTGCCTCGCTTCTTCGTTCGGTGGCAAAGCTGAAAACATAATATAGAGGTAACCTATTGAAATGTAATCTTTTAGCTGCAACTTCCTGTTGCAACTTCAAGCTGAGACAAAAAACAACTCTCACTGTGATTCGTTTTATGAAATAAATATCGGTTTTCTGAGTTTATTGTGTCGATCATTCGCTTATTTATCACCGTTATGCTAAAACCTGTACAGTAGTTGCCTATCGCTCCTGAAATTCTTGTTTGTATTCCGAAGCACGGCGTTCGATCAATAAAATAGTCGCATAATAACGCCCAAACAACAAGAAATAGCAGCTGAAAAAGAAAGTATCGCTGATTTTTCCTAAATTATCAAGTGCCCTTTCCTTTCATTAGTACCGTTATACAATGAAAAATTCTACAATTGTGTCACATTTGTATTTTTATTCAAGTTCATTCAACTTTTTACCAATACTCGGCTTACTTACTTACCCTTACTTTTGGAATAAAATTTAAAAGGTCGCTAACATGTTTATGAATATTGAATTCTCAGACAATTATTAATTTATCTCATTTTCATGTATTTAAAGAAAGAACTACAAGAACTCTGAATGATTGGTAACTCCAGAGCCAATACTTTTAGTACTAGTAAACAGAGAGTCTTTAAATAATCGTGAATGAATTTTCTTGAAGACCGATGTATCAAACGTCTTGTTGATATATGAAAGAGCTAATAACAAAACAAGAATCATCAAAATGTTGTGTTCACGCAGTAGACTTATAGACAAAGAATAAATTTAAGTTTTTCATGAATACTTTACATCATATTTATTTATTTATTTATTTATTTATTTAAATTCACCAACGCTTAATACATTTGGTTACTACAATATTATACACTAATTTACAAAGGTATTAAAGTTAAAATGCTTAACCAATTACAGGTGAACATGACATGATATGGGTATAAAAGTTAAAACACTTAATATAATTTTACAGTTTAAATTTTTAAATTATAAGTTTTTAAATTATAGTTAATAACTAAATATATATACATATTATATGCTTATAAATAATATATATTCATTTCCGTGACAAAAATTCCAATATTAACTTCCTAAAGCGAGGCAATGACACTGTGAAGATATCAATTTCAAGAGGTAGAGCATTGACAAGCCTGGCAAATCTGGCGAAAGGAGAATTTTGTCCAAGGACACTTCTGCGGAATGGTGGGTGAAAAAGATTAACACGTAAACGTCGCTGCACATCAGCTTTAGACGTATAAAAGTACCATATCTTTTATTTTTTTTGTAGGTGCAACATTCACCACAATTTAATAAAAAAGTTGATTGATCCATACACTACAATTATAAGTATTTGTGATAGCGAAACAAAATTTTGCGTTGAGTTTCGTGCGCATCCGTAAACGCTGATTACATACACAGAATTTTTAAATGTTCGTTTTTAATTTAAAAAATTCTAGCATGTGAATTCCAATCTCGATATGACGTGTATTATATAGAAGTTTATTTTGGATTCATTTCAAAGTAATTTGGCTTATAACTTTAACATCCAGAAGTAGTTTTAAGATCTGCTGCTTCAGAACGTAATTATCACTTATATTCACACTACAAGAACATTTTATAATTTCCTTAAAATGTCTTATTGCCGATTGTCAACTAAGTTGATCCAGTTTTTCAGCCTACATAGTATGCGTTAAAGGGTCTTAATTTTATGGTCCATCTATTAATATTTCTTATGTCTACTCGTAAAATGATCGTAAGAGGGAACGATGGAGGGGTGTGGAGGGCAGTGGGCACCATCGTTATTATACGAGTCTGTCTTAGGCGCCGCGCAAACTTGTCTTGAGTTTTTAACCGACTTCAAAAAGGAGGAGGATCCCAATTTGACTATATTTTCCTTTTTTTTGTATGTGTGTTACGCGATTACTTCGGCCATTTGCGAACCGATTTTGATCATTCTTTTTGTTGGAAAGGGGGTACCTCATATATCATAAAATATTCACCTCTAAGGGTGGCAACTAGGGTATGAATCCGGTTTAGCGCACTTTCCAGTAGCCGGTTTCAATAAAACTTGGCAAATAGATATCATTCCACGAACTTTTGAGATAGGTTTTTTTAATAAAAATGTTATATTTATTACAGTTACAATTGCTATGTTATAATTATTACAAACCGGACACAGTTGCCGGTTGCGGCAACAGCATCAGCGACTGTGTCGATTTCATATTAATTGTATGAAAATAGAATATTCGCTTCTATAAAGCTGCCGATTGTTTCTATCCAACACAAGACACACGTTTGCGTGGCGCCTTATAGTCAGCAAACTTAATTATAATGTAAAAGTGTAACGGATTTTTGTTTACAGAAATTGTATTGAAATTTTTTCCAGTAAAAAGTTAGAAAATTGTCAGAGTCAGAAAATTTTAATACTTATAGGTAAATAAGGTACTTGATACCTGGCGCTCGCGACATAAACATCACTCAGTATAGATATTGGAATGAAGATAAACGAGATAGCGAGGTGCAATTTTTGTAATTGTGTTGCTCCGGAAGGTAATAAATTAAAGAAGGTCGGCCGCGCCGGGATGCCGCCGCCGCGCGCCGCCAGACGACCAGGGGCTCGCATCCACCATCGCCGTTTAAAGCACAGCTCGGGTTGTTGTTCAATTTCCGCGTTTTTATGAAGTTATAGAGAATCGAATAAAAAATAATGATCAACGTGGAAAAATTTTGTCGCGAGATTTTACCGTGGTACAGACGTATCGAATAGGTTGTTGGGTTATGTTCAGATTCTGAAAAGCGAAGCAAGCAGAAGCCACGAGAATCTGGGTTTGCATATCTGAGTTTTCGGAATTTATGTGCGAAATTTAATTTTAAATTTTGCCATGAGCTTTTCGGCGAAGGAAAACATCGCGAAGCAGAAAAATTCAGAGCCCTCGAAAACGTGTGAAGTCGCAAACGTGTGGAGACCCGTGCCCAGCAGTGGGTTGTATAAATGGGTTAATGATGATGATGATGATGATTAAGGACAATACACATCAAATATAATTTCAAATATGATTAAATTTTTCTAATGCGTTTTCTTTGCGCATCGAAATTTCGTCGTGTCGTGTTAAATACTTGGAGTAATTACAAAATAATCTAGCTTTGCAATCTGTAAGTTTGAAAGTTTAATTTCTGATTTTACCGATTAAAACAAAAATTGCACTTTGTTTTTGTTATTAATGGCTTTGCCTTCGCATTTAGCCAATGATAAGGTTGGGAAAGCCGAATTACAGATTATGGAAAAGGTACGGCATTTGAATGAAAAAGGATAATATAGTAGATTGGGTAGGTGAGTTAAGGCATGTATTATTTATATAATTTTATATAATTTTATATATTATATATATTATATGACATATATAATTAAGGTATGTATAGGCATACATAGTAAAGCTTGATATTATTATTTTCGATAATAAAGTCAGTACATTATTTATACTTCACTCTAAAGCGATGCATGTGACCATGTGACCTTAGAACATTTCAGTCATTTTGAATGGGTACGATTTTTTACCGAATTTTGGTGGTGATTTTTGAATCGTCAATAATATAACCACGAACATTTCACAGTTTTGGCTGCCATGCTACCAAGTATTAGAACTTAACTTATTAACTTAACTGACTGCACTGTGCATTAGCGTGCACTGAACGTGTCCAACCCTCGTAGGATTTGGTAGTAAGCATTTATGTTATTGTTCACCAAAATTGGAATTATTGCGCGGACTCTAGTTCTAGGTACAATGTTGCTTTAAATTAAGACTGTTAAATTAATAACTCATTTAAATATATAAATGAGTTATATTCAGTAGATAGTAATATTCATTAAATAGCCAAGTGGGATAGTATATTGCTCGATTTTTTTAATAACTAAAACAAGTACAAGACACAGGTTATTAACGCGCTACCACACTTAGAATTTTTCATTAGTGGCTAAAGGTGACTTACATATACTTGACTACAAAAATGTTACATATCTATTTCGGCAAAATATACTACTATACGCCCACGCCGCGCAAAACTTACAGCTGGGAAAATCACTCATTTAGTGCTTCTTGCAAATGTTTGTTCGTATATGCATTATCGGACCTACAAAAACGAAGATAAAAAGAAACAGAATAACCAGTTAATTCTAGGTAGTCGCGTGCAGATCTTGGCGTGTCGCTAATCTACGTGATCGATGGCAGCTACAAATATTGCTTATTCCCTCTGCTCTCTTTTTTTAAGGGGTTAACTATGATGTCAGATTGCTTTCTTGTACAAATTACTCGTAGACTTTTTAGACAATTTATATTATTATATTGTAATAGCTTATAGCTGTTTTCTGTAATTCTAAGCAGACAATAATTATATGCTAGAAGAAGCTTCGGAATATGAAAACGTAACTAAACATAACCACTGCCGAACTATTGCACCTACGAGAAAGCTAACAACCGCAGTAGTAATCTTTCCATAAGTCTTTGATTATACATAACCACAGAACAATAAATACAGTAGAAGTGCTTAGTGGTCATGCCATGTGTGCCAACAGTACACGGAGTTCCACATACTTGAGCTCAGTCCGTCATTTACGGTTTGTGCGGTTATGGTCGTGTCATTTATCTCACGCAACACCTCGAAAATCGTAAGAAAATACCTTGATTTGCTACTTAAGGGTGCAAAAATGATAGTCGTAATAATATTATCCTTGGTGGTGTTTTATATCGTCCTTAAGTTTTATTTTTATTTAATTTGAATAAATTTTCCATTTTCTTTTTGTAGTAATAGATTTTTTGTTATAAGAAACGAAACCGCTACTATACGATCGACTTTTGTTTGAAAAACGTTAATAGGCATTAATCGTTCGTCTTCTCATAGTCTTTCAGATATTGCCGCTAGATGACAGCAAATGGAATGAAATTTCAATACAAAACGAAGACGTCGTAACTTGCAACAATAGGTATTGAACTTCAACGGTATGCCAAGAGGGTAAGGTTTAAATTA